GTGAATTGAAATCAGAGAGGGTTAATTTAAAATATAATCAACATTGAAACAAAAATATTATTTCTGTTATGGAAGTTATTCAATAAGTTCGCGAACTTTTTGATCACCCCTCGTATGTATCCATTAATGCATTAATCCATCTATATGAAATAAAACATTTTTTTCATGATGATCAACACTGCACTGTGCAGAACAAAAGGTACTGAAAACAATTGATGATACTGCAAATCAATTCATGCATATGTTTGCGACACCTTGTATGACCCACGAAGCTTTTTGGTGGTCATAAGGTTGATAAAATGTTTGCTAGCTTATGTTTTTGATATATATAATCCTTTAGAAATCAAAAACAAGGGAATGATATTTTTGCGATTATGCGTGTCAATCTTTCAAAAATATTAAACACTCTATGTTGAACGATGACAAAGTTTCTTACTGGAATTAGCTAGAGGTACCGTAAGCAATGAGCTCACTAAATGCCACCCCCACCCCCACCCCACGCTTCCCATATGAATATATGATAATTGATAGTGGCCATGTTTTGCTATGGGAAACCCAAAATATGTGTCGAGTAAAAAAGTAAAAAGAAGGAGGTGCGCAATGGTAACATGTAATAAAGATTCTGTGAAAGTTTCATTAAATTTTATTCAGTGGTATGGGAGGAGTTACGGATAAGAGATTGGTACCCCAAAGCGTAACAGACGGACGGACGTACGGAGGGACGGACAGACACACCGATTACTATATACCCTCCTTTTATAGTGTTCAGATATTAATGACATCAAGTTCAATGACCTTGACTGTGACCTATATGCTAAAAATAGCTTTTTCGAACTATCACCGTAATTTCATATTTAGTTATGGATACTCGACTGATTAAGTTCTTTCAAATGCCATTAAGATCAGAGACCTTGTGACCTTGATTGTGACCTATAAGCTAAAAATATTTTTTTGGAACTTTGTTACCGCTGGTCGTATAGTGTTTCTCAAACACATCTTGTCGTCGAAGTAATGTTGCATAAAATAAGGCTTATATTCAAATAACGCGATTTATGTTAAAAAGTTCATGTATATATATATTTTTGTGGATGTCAATGTGTTTATCTTTGTGTTATTTTACAAAACCTTTAAGAATATCCGATCCTCAACTAGGAAGGATATCTTTAAAAATTAATATTTGATTTGAAATGCATCAAAATGAAGCTTGAAAGTTAATTTTTTCCAACAACAATTTTTATTTTATTCATCTTTATATGATTCAAGGTTTATGGAAGTCTTAGGAAAGGTCTTTAAAAAATTGACATTTGTACCCCATAAAAGAGAAAAAAATAAATACCGTTTTAGACAAATAATATATTTTTGAATCCAGCCTTACATACCAATGCTTATAAGCATGATATAAAATAAGAAGTGATTTATGGTTTCTTGCAATGATATCAAAAGCCTTTTACACTAGCTACGTATTATAGAAAACATGGCGGAAATAGAAGACAAAAAGTACCAAATAAGTAAAAAAAAAATCATGACAATTTTTTTAATGCCTGGATACCTATCGTTTTTTTTTAACCTAAAAAATATGTGTTGATCAATTTTCAATTAGAAAATGCATTGCTGATATTCCAATTCGCTTTTTCTGCAAAATTATTGGAGATTGGACAATTTTTCCTATATAGTATGATTAACTTGAATCTTTAACTTTAAAGAAATCCTGTGGATAAATTTACATAACTGTTGATTCAGAGATACTTATTGAGTACTTTTGATTAATTAACTGCTAATTTTATAAACCTGGGGATCGGAGTACCTTAATTTGTAAATCCGGTTCTTCCAGTGACCAGCTTGTTATAATCAGCTGATCGTTCTGTTCGTCGGTAGTTAAATTTTGATCCGATCCATTGATTGGATCTGTCCAACTATGCAACTTGCCGTAATACCAGACTTATCGATTTCAAAAACAATCGTTATTTCTTAATTCAAATTTCCTCCATTCCTTCGTTGATGACATCTCAGACACTTTATCAGCCTCACTCAAGGAAAGGAGAAGCGAGCTGGTTTTCATCAGGCTGTCAGCCTCAGCCCCAAGTTTCAATCGCCGACTTGGCAGTGAACATTGTCATTGTTTTCTAAAATTTCTTGCTTCACGAATGATAGGGGTCATGGTGTTTGCCGATGGGCCCATTCGCATACCAGAGAGTAGTCATTTTCATGTAATTAATTACTAACAGACAAAGAAATATTGAAACTCTGTCAGGAAAAGTTCTGCTCTTTCTGATTCTGCTATTCTTTAATTTCTCTCTCTGAAACTCATAGCAGTTATGCAGGGAAAAGACATTATTGTTTAAAATTTTCATAGTTTTATTAGGAAAAAACAAATATGGTGACATTCATGTTAACTTTAGAATTTGATAAGTCAGCTGATTATTAGTCTCAAAACTTCAGCAGTTTTATGGACTTTTTGATCTTGACTACAGTTCGTTATCTTTATAGGTTTCATGGAAACATATAAAATTACAATTTATATAAAAAATACAGAAAGGAAGAAAAACATACTACTAAAGATATTAATTAAATCTTTAAAATACTGTTTTGGAATTTTGGTTAAAAAAATAGAAAAATAATAATTAAAAAGACATTAAAAAACAAATTAATATCTTTAAAAAAATAATAATAATAACTAGAGCAAATCTCGTTGCAAAGCAACGAGTAGGTCGTCCTTCCTGTTTGACCGAAGGTAGCTTTAATTTTTACAAAAACGAGATATAATGCCCCAAAATGGTTTAAATCCTCTAAATCTCTGTTAATTAATGCAAAATAAGCCAGTTTTTGCTACCTCCTGTTTGTCCAGAAGTTATTACGACAGACAAAAAATTGTTTGATTTTTTCCCCCAGTGACATATGCTACCCCAAACCTTGTCAAGAACGGCGAAAATACGCGTTTTCTGACTACTTCCGATAAACCGGAAGTAACGTCGCTGGACGAATTTTGACGATTTCAATAGATTGTGCTTGACATTTTGAACAATTTCGCTTCTGTGATGTTTAACAATTTTTTTTACACTTTTAAAGATATCAGAAAAATAAATTTCTGGCCCCACCAGATCAGTTATTTTAAAGGCCAGCCCCTTTATCGAGATACTATTTTCAGGGTTCTCCATCATTTGAAATGTTACTGTGTTGCAGAGTTAAAGCGAAGAACTAAAATTTCGCGGTATTTTCGCGATCAAATTCGCAACTTAATCACTATTTATGAAAATTACAAAAGAATACATGCACACACTTATTTAAAAATTAGCTACACAAATGGTATGGTCGTACATATTAATAAAAATAAAAACACATTTCGAAAAGCAGAGGAAATTCTGACAAATACAGTTGTACAATAGTAATTTTTCAGTGATTATTTATCAGTTATCTTGATCAAGTTATCAAATTACCAAAAAAAAAATAGAAACTTCAGAACAGTAAATTATTTCAGAGTTCCTTGAATATGTTAAAAATTCTAAGCAATGACTTCGATATGATGTTTCGTCAGACTTACAGTGCTAAAATAGTTCTAGAGCCGTGGCTCTATAGAAAAGACATATTTAAATATTTTTTTTTAAAATAATACAATGTATTTTAATGCAACTACCAATTAACCCTTACACGGAAGTGTGAAAACAAATTATTTGTCTGTTGCTCCGTCATGCGTAAAGTCCGGTGAGGGTCTAGGAGATAATTGATCATGTTGATTATGCAAAGTGAAGCCCTAGTGTTTAATTGCTCTAACTTTAATAATCGAAAGATGATATAATTGTTTAATTAAAGTATCAGTTAGAGAGAATTCGTGTGTTTATATTTTCTAATTTTCACAGATCTTACTGTGTGGGCAAAATTTTTACTGTGTTGCATGCATAAAATTTGTATCGTTACTGTGTCGGAGAAAATTTTATCTGTGTCGGGAGCAACACAGTAAAACAGCTCATGGAGAACCCTGCTATTTTGATAGATCTTTTATTTTTCACAATTTTTGTTTTCTTTGTATTAACAAAATATTTACAAGTAAAGGGATATAACAGAAAACGTGTTAGAAATTTTAAAACGCTCAATATGATTTTTTAGACCATACTGAGCGTTAACGTGCAGTACTTCTAGTGAAAGTTAAAAACACTATGCAAATCCACATATGTTGCTCTATTTTTCCATAAAAAAGTTTCATCTGCCAGTGATGAGCGGTTTTAAAGAAGAGCTACGGACAAACGGACCCTTTAAAATCACAAAATTGCGAAAATCTTAGAAACTGGAAGTGAAGTCATCAAAATAGAAAAAAATGTATCCAGAAATTGTTATGTTCTATCAGACTTTAAAGTTTCATAAAAAACAAGCCAGCCTTTTTTTTCAGAAATCGCGTGCCCGACCGAAGACCTTGATATTGATAACTATCTATGACTGTGATCCCTAATCTCAAAGAAAGTACATAAATAATTTCAATAATTTCTATCAAATTGTTTGAAATCTGTGTTACAAAGATAATTATCATACTGAGAATATATTAATTTCTATAAAGTATGTCTCTTCACATGTTAATAAAAATAATAATCCTTTAAAATATAGGCCTACATCATAAAATTTTAATTTGACTAGGAGGATTTTTATTTCAAAATTTTAGAAAAACAGATTCCTTGTTTACACTCATGCTTTGTATTTATAAGGCATTCAAATAGTTTAAATCATATTTCGCAAAAAAATTTAAAAATTGTATGAAAATGACTTCATATATATGATTTACATAGGAGAATAAGGTGTTAACATTTATTTTGACGACGGTATTGTTCAGATTCTTAGAAAGTACATTATGATAAATTTGTTCGTAAAAAAAATACATGACCTAAATTGTGCATCAAATAAGATATCAAAAAGAAGGAAAAATTACGAGTTTCCTTTTCAAAACTTTTTTCCTCGAAAAAGAGGACATAACGTATATAAAATTTATCTCCTGTTTTGTTTCTTAGCTCAGAAAAATGACATCCATAGCAGCGACCAAGCTTATAATCATGCTCTGCGTTAAAACACACAAAAGAGGTAAATTTTAAATCGCATTTTTTTAAATACTTTTTTAAAGGTTTGGTTTGGGGTAATAACATATCCTAATTATTTTTGATAAATAAGTTCCATTTCTCTTTATTTAAACTTATTTTAAATAGTTTGTTATGAAGTGGATTTTTATATGAAAGAAGATTTTTAATCCATACTATACGTGCAAACACATCCAAACCTTTCATAAGGAAGTCATCTGAAATGACTCAGGAAACAAAACAACATTCCAATAGAATTTTTTGTTCTCAATTCTGTCTCCAACGAACGAAACTCTTCAGAAAAGCTGGAACAAAACAAAGAATGTCTCTGATGATCACTTTCTAAATTTTGTAAACGATTTCACCATATTATTTTTCTGTTTTAATTCAGAAGTTATTGGTGGGACCTCGGAAGGATTTGAGAAATCAACCACGATCCTGATATTGACAATCGGATTACTCGGGTTCGTAGGAAATATTGTAACTATCATAAAAATTTCACGCGATAAACGGTTTCATACTCCAACATATCTTGCCATCAGATGCCTTGCATTGCCAGATACTCTAAATATCATCAGTACTTTTGTACGGAAATTTTCTAATTTGTTTCTTTATGCTGAAATTCAAATTTCTTACAACGAAAGTATTTTCGAGTTTTTAATCTCATTTTTCCTAGATACATGTAATACACTTGTTTGTTGTTCAACTGCACACATTGTGTTCCTTGCTATGATCAGATATTTATTAATAGTCCATCCGTTACAGAGCACAATTAGACTGACTGCTTTAATCGTCATGGCATGCTCTGTAATGATTTGGATACATTCTTAACTCTTGTCAGCTTTCATATTAATATTGATAGCAATGATTATGATGATTATGGAAGATTCATTCGATCGTATCAAAACCATTTCATATACATTAAGTTTTCTTAGTATTTTTCAGGGGTTGATTGCTATCAGTGCAATCATTATAATACATATTAAGAAGGTAAAGGCTCTAAGAATGTCGTCTGTTACAAACACCATCCGTAGAAGAATGAATGTTATTATTTGCATTATATTATCAATTTATATTTTCTCTCGTATCCCTTTACTTTTATTTATGTGTTATTCATTTTATGTTCTTTTTACAGGCAATCTTTTTTCAGTTATCTTTAATATGTACATATACAATACAAGTCTACTTTTTGGAATCCTTAATTTCTCTTGTAACCCTTATATAATTTTCTTGGCTTCACGTATCTTTTCATAAGCAAAGGTTATCAAGATTTTTGAAGGTAAACAGTTGATGAATTTTTTTTAATAAATATATTTATACATGTTATAGTAATCTACATTGCATTTAAAGATTTATTATTACTAACCTGTATTTCCTATTAATTAACTAGAAATAATAGAGACAATTTACAACCTGTGTGTAGACATTTAAATTATTAGACCACTATTTATACAATATATTGTCGATGGATTCTCCGTTATTTCCTGATCATGACAAGGAGCATACGGAGGGTGTAACCGGTCGGCAGTGGATGCTCACTCCTCCGTGGGCTCTGATCCCTCCTCTGATATTTTGGAGGTCCGTGTTAGCTCTGCTATTATCTTTGTATTGTTTAATGGACGTTGATCTTGAATACTGTTCGTTATCTCTATATTGTTCATACACACATATTTATGTATATTTCTTTTTATTCCTTTTGACTTCATTGTAAAATAAGAGTAGGTTTTCATCATTTTGGAATGCTGTGTACAATTGTCGGTTTTGTAATGTTTTCATCACTTTGGAATGCTGTGTACAATTGTTGGTTTTGTAATATTAACAGATTATATCTACAACATAAAACTAAAATGAAAACCTAGTAACAAGTACATAGCTTATGTGCTAATGATTGAAATTAAAATCATTTTTATTTTCATTTTTATCATTCCAACATATGTACTTCTAACATGCAAAGATTTGAAAAACAATGCAATTGAAATTTAAAACAACATTTTAAAATGATGGAAAATATTCCGTACTACCTCCGTGGGCGTCATAGTACCATGCTGACATCAAAAAGTTTAAAACTTCAAATGTATGGGGAAATTTAGAAGATAATCTGTATTTCCCGCAATAATTGGCTTACAACAAAGATTAAGAAAAAGAACAACATTGCACCTTATAACCAGATTTCTGTTTAATAGTTAACTTCCAGAAGAAATGAACGCTTATGAGTGTCCGTAACTGTACATGAAAAGAACAGGAGAGTTAAATCTTCAATGGAACCTATTGCTGATATCCATGATGCTGGGAAACTGTTCTCTGTGTATTAATGAAAACTGATTATGCACCGTAACCTGTATGTAATAATGTAATTATTTGTTGATAAGGTTCATGATATGGTTTGAGGCACAAATCACGTGATACATTTAAGTGAAAAAGGAGAACATGGGCAATCAAAGATACGTTAAATTCGTTGGAATACCTCAGCATTTCCAGTTCTGCGATAAATATTTTTATACATTGGTATTACAACGAATTCTTTTTTATTGTTTTCAAATAAAAAGCCCATAGTTTCCAGGATTCTGCATTCCCTTGTAATACATTACACACAGGACTTGACGGAGTAACTTACAGAACTAGATATTTAGAACTGCCTAATCCACATTCTGCATTTTCTCACGTTATAAGCACTTAAGATATTTAGTCTCCTAGAGAGTAATAAAAGTCAATTATGTTGATGCATACGAAATCCATGAAGGGACTTGAGGATTCTCAAAAAAAGTAAATCTCGAATCATACAATCTGTTCTTTCGGATTGACAATCTCTTATACATGTAAAAGATAACCAATTCCTTCTCTCAAATTGCACAATCTTATCTCGAATTGTAACCCTTTCTTTCAATTAATTCCTTCCCTCGGATTATGAATCGTTCCCTTGAGTTAATAATTCATTCTCTCAAACTGATATGTTGATCAGTAGGATCGAATTGTGTAACTAGAGATCTTAAATTACAGATCGAGATCTCGAATTATTAATTTGTGAAATCGAATTATGTCCTTCGGCATCTCGAATCACATACTGAGATCCCAAGTTATAAACCGGGGAACCAATTGATAATCTGTGTTGACGGATTGTGTGATTAGAGACATCAAATTAGAGTTTACCTTTGGAAAATCAACGTGTCGATTAAGGGCTTTCGCTACAAGAGCTGGAATTCCCATCTAATGAAGGGTTGTTATCTCATCACATAAATAGATCACTAAGTCTGTAGCATTGAATAATTACAACAAATCATCAACATTAAATAATATTAACCTAGCGTTACTTTTTTTTACAATTTCAAACAATATTTCACCTTAACAATAGGGAAACATTTAAATTCAAAAGGAGAAATATGAATTAAATTTTGTTATATGTATCCATTAATAATAATGAAAGATTAATTTGTATTCAATATGAAAATTTTACTTTTCAAAATCATCAAAACTTCACTGCTCAGAATTACAGGTTATGATTGATTAATTGATTGCGTATTGTTTAACGTCCCTATCGAGATTTTTTTCTTTATATGGAAACGTCACCGTTTGCCGGTGAAGGGCTTCAAATTTTTATCTTAACTCGGCACTAAGGGCCATTGAGCAGTGAGGGATCTTTATCGTGCCAACGCCTGCCGCTGACACGGGATCTCGGTTTCTGAGGTCTTATCCGAAGGATCCGCAACTTTCACTTCAAAGTGCCGAAGGAACAGTTGCTACCCATTTTTTATCGACTTCATTCGCAGCTGAGATACGAACTCACGACCTCACGATCACAGAGGGAACGCTCTACCGACTGACCTATCATAAACGGTGAAAGGTTTTGAAAACAAGTAATGATTCTGCAAATCACTTAATACATATTTTCACGACACCTTATATCAGCCAGAAAGCATTTTTGGTGGTCATAAGCTTCATAAAATGTTTGCTAGCGTACGTTTTTGCTGTTTATAATCCTTGACAAATCAAAAACAGGCGAATGAAATTTGCCCGTAGATTGACACACATAATCAAGCGAATTTTTTTTTTTAATAATCCCTCGGCACTTCACGGTAGTTTTTTTTTACTCTTTACAACTTACTGATCTGTCATGCAACATACACTTCATATTCACGTCATAAAAAAAAATTACCGTTTCTTCGCAAGCACCTAAGTTATTGTTTGGCAAACGTTTCTCTAATGTTTAGCATAAATAATATTATGACGTTATCTTTCAAAACAAAAATAACTTTTCTTATTTTATGAAATGTTTGCAAGTACAAAATAGAAGGAGATTGACTGTATATAAAATTAAATGAACTTTTTATAGTGCAAGAAAATGCGTGATTGCGCGGAAACGGTATATGCGTGATTTTGCATTAGAAACAGGAAGTGGTATATGCGTTCAAATGCGTTACTGCAGGGAAGCGGTTTAAATACATAGTAATGGGTTCATTCAAATAAGAAGCCAATAATAACCCTTCTAAACATTTTTTTTAACATTTTCTAATTAAATAATGCATAATTGTATAGGAGGTGATGATTTATTTTGTCATGCACCCCACTTGAGGGTTGAATATAAAGGATGATTTTTATCTTACAAAAACGCAGTTTCAATAGACAGTTTATAAACTAAATAAACATAAAGAAAACATGTCTATCCTTGCTGGCTGTTTAACTAAAAAAAGAATCATTGTTTAAAATAGCTCTGTTGTACCTACTTCTTGGATTCGTAGCTCTGCATCCAAGAATAAGTATTTTCAATGTGTCATTATACTACTGATGATGAAGGGTACTTAATACAAAATTTTTACGCACTGATTGATATACATGTATATTTTTCGACTGATTTTGATTTGAAATGACTTTAATAATAAATCCATGAAAAATAAAGAAATCGCAGATTTTCTTTAATGGTAAGATACGAGGATTTGTTTTGCTTTTTAACTTTAGCTTTTAAAAGACACTAATGGTAATCTAACAACCAAGCTATATGATAAACGTGATGACTTTAACTTTTCTATCGTCAACTTCCCTTACTTATGCAGCAATATACCTTCATCACCTGCATACGGAGTATTTATATCTCAGTTGATTCGATACGGAAGAGCATGCTCTACGTATGAACAATTTCTTAAACGAGGTAAATTATTGACAAGCAAGTTGATGAAACAAGAATATCAACAGTCTCGTTTAAAGTCATCATTTCGTAAATTCTATGGTCGATACAATGACCTTGTCAGCAAATACAATTTATCATTGAATGAAATGCTGACTGACGTTTTTCATACCAATTGTTTGTCCATTATTTATACACTGAATTGACCACGGATTTTTTCCGTTATTTCCTGATTATGACAACGAGCACACGGCGGGTGTGACCGGTCGGCAGGGGATGCTCACTCCTCCATGGCACCTGATCCCACCTCTGATGTTTCGGAGGTCCGTGTTTGCTCTGCTCTTATTTTGTATATTTGTTTAATGGACGTTGAGATTGAATACTGTTCGTTATTTCCATATCCTTCTCTTAAATAACTTCATCCTTAATATTGCTCATTTTTTTTTACCTGATGACAAAATCTTATGAAATTCACATATGAACTACACTTTGTAAATATTTTTTAAGTTATCAGGTTAAATGTAGATCTATGAGAAATATTACCGATTTTTGAAACAAAACGTTTGTGTTATGTTTCCTTAAGGTATCATTTTTCTAAGATAAATGTATTTTAAAGGCAATGCATAAAACGTATTTTAAAAAAAAAATATTGTCTATCTTTGCTCAGTGTTAAAAAATAATAAAGAAGCAGTGTAAACATTAAGGGATGTGTATAGTAAATCAGTTATTGTTCAGTGCGGCAACGAGGAACAAAATACAGAAGAAACAAATAACACTGCTGCCTTAATGTGATTGACTTAAATAAAATTTCCCCGAAAAATACGTGATATTTTTCTTCTACTCTATCTTGTATTTGCAATTCATTTAAAGTTTCTTTGTTTTACAAAAAAAAAAACGTTTTGTTCCTATGAACAAATGCAGAGTAATTCATAATATTATATACTTGAATAAAGTTTCATGCTGTTTATCTGAATTTATATTTCATTTCATACACCTGTACTTATTTTAAAGAACTGACGCCTTTCTGAGTTTTAAAATGCCCGTGCTCTTTTTTTTTTTTGTGAATAGATGAAATCAAAAGAATACACACTGTAAATGCAACATGTGAATGTCTACATTATTAT